GCGCCTGTGGTAGGCTGATTCGGCCAGGTCGCGCAGGCTGCGCCAGGCCAGCTAGACCGGTGCCCGGGGGGGGACACCAACTTGGTAAGTTGTTGCCTGGGTGCTTGCCTAGTTGTCACGAGGTGCCACGTGTCGCAATTTCACTAGATGGCCAAATCTGCCCTCATCAATGATGAAATGAAGACAAGACAAAAACTTGCTATAATGCAATGAAGAACATCACCAATATGCCAAATGTAATGAATACACAATGTGATAGAGACTCAACAACTATCATCTGTGAGCATTGGGAAACGACTCACTTGGGCTAGAAATGGAATCGCCACTCATCAAGTAAATGAAATAGAGGTGATGAGACCTCCGGGAATCTCGTCAAAGTTGTCTTTGGTTTAATAGTGATTCTAACAACCTAAGGCATTGGCTAAACTAGTTTAGGTAGGATTTGAATGGGAGAGGGAAGGGGTTAGGCACCCTTCTTGGGTTTAATTGGTGGGACCCACATGAGATCTCAAATAAACATAAACACAAACAAACAATTATTTAGTTGATTCAAGGGGCCTAATAAAGCAAAACAAATAGAACAAACACCATAAGAGAATCTATCTAAACATTTTTTATTTATTCTATTTTTATATATTTTTATTTTCTTTTACTTTTATTATATTATATTATTTTTAATTTAATTTTATTAGTTATTCACATTGTTTTCTCATGAAACCCCGTTTGATTTCATTTTTAATTTTTAATTCTGTTTTTTCCTTTCCTTTTTGTTTTCTATTTGTTTGAGTCTTTTAAACTTTTCTACTTTTTATTTTTCTCTTTTTTATTTTTATATTTATTTTATATTCTATTTTTATTACTTTTCTCTTTCAACAGTTTATCTCCCCCTATGCCTCCCAAGTATGTTCAAGCCTAATGAATCAACCTCCCCCATTCCACCTTTTCCCAATTTATTTATTATTCTACCTTTTTTACCTATTCTTTAATTGTAAATTATTTGTTTATTGTTCAAGTCAATTCAGTCCGGAGGAT